AAAAATCTGATTTGCGTGAACTTTTTGCAGGAGATAGGATGTCCCCATAGGACGATCCTCCTCAAAAACGGAGATGTCCCCATAGGACGATCCTCCTCAAATACGGATTCTAAATTACTTTGGCACATTTTCCTAATGGAGATATAGCGCATTTTTTCAGTTTGTTGATAATAACTGTGTAAAAAACTGATCGGAGTAGGACCGAATTTCAGGCGCACATTGAAACAATAAAAAATCCAAAGATTTGAGGCGGGACAAGGGTATACAGTCTTTCATACTACATTGTGCTTTTGTGGTCAGGCAATTACTGATTTAATTTACCGCCATCCAAACAACTTATACGAATTCTGTGACATAAACTCATATTTATTTATATTACTATTATTTTACATCCTGTTAGGAATCAATGGGGGGACACATTTTAACATAAACTTTTACATAAAACGGTCACAGTGTATATTTTAATAGATCGTATTCTTGGATTACTCAGAGTTAGATTTAAGGCCTAAAACTGTCCCAAAAGGTTCAGAGAAAGGGGAGATAAATTCTCCGTCGTAGACTCTTACAGTCGTAATATTACTCCAGTATTCCGTATTTAGTTTACAGCAACCATATGCATTGTTGTAGTCATTATACGAACGTAAATGGGATTTTGACAAGTAAAATTTTATATATTCATTAGAGCTGTGTATTGTTCAAGAACCAAACATCAACAAACACAAATAAAGGAAGCCATCTTAATAGAACAAAACAGCCCTACTCTGAACCAACCATGATACCTTTACCTAGCTGTTAAGCAATCTCCGGTCATGTGACCTCTTTGTTTCATAGATTCCTGTGTCTCTGTAAACTACTTGTACTTGTCGAAAGGTTGTACATTTGTAATCAAGTTTCATTCACTACCAATTTAAGCCGTCTCTAAATTTTATAACTGCAGTAAGTTTACAAAACGCACTGGATAACAAGCTCAAAATGCTGAGACAAAGTACACGGAAGGCTCTGGATCTTATATCTATTTGATTAGTAATGAATAAATGTTTATAAAGTAGCTTTCTATGTTTTGCGAACAAATCAACACCATTAATGTTAGAAAACAAAGTTTACTCCAATATTGCTAAGGTCTCTTTGGCAAGTGTTGTTCATTTCTTGTACCTCAGTGATTACATAACCATATACACACCTTACAGTAAATGTAATATATCATACAATATGTCATGTACAGGCTCGTAGGTTTTGTTTTCATAATGATAAATGTGTTATGTTTGATAAATACCATCGGGGAAAGCGTCTGTTGATTTCGATAAGAAGTCTTCCGCTCACAGATACACACATCTATGCACAAGATAAAGAGGGATTAGTTGTGTAGTAAAATATAGAAGTGGAATATTTATATATAATTTTAGTACGAACGTTATTGCAGCAAAAGAGTTGAGGAATAAAGAGAAACTACTGTACATTACTCTTCCAAGTAGGAAGTGGTCAGGTCACGTGATGATAAAGTTTTATTCTGAATTTGTTTGTAGTGATTATTAATTTATTAAACGGGTTTACTGTATCATAAATCTCAATGTTAATGTATCTTAAAATCTAAACATAGGGCATTCTTGATAATATAACGTGGTTTTTACAGCTATTCTTGTGCAATAAAGCTGGTTAATACACTGTTGTTGCTAAAATGCCCTTGTAAAATAGTAGTTAAGGTAGTTTGCAATGTCTATGGGAAATTATGTTAATCGTTTAAAATACATTGTTGTTGCTAAAATGTTCTTGTAAAATAGAGAAGTAGGTTGCAATATTTATGAGAAATTATGTTAATCATTTAAAATTCGATTGAGGAACGGATTAAGAGGGTTGTGAAGTAACTTAATTGAAATTTGGTCGTTAGGACTTCAATATAAAATTAACTAGCTCGCAAACAACTGCGATGGAAGAGTTTTAGTACAAAGCGTTTTAAGTAAATAGAAGTTGTCTTAGAAGACTGTATTTTAAGTATCAGAACGATAAATAAGTACACATAGAAAATTCTGAATAATAAACAACAAAAAACATCTTAGCAATGTTACGTGTGGTTAGTAAAATGAATAAACTCCAATTTTATTTCAAATAAGCTTTGTGTGTATGACAGGCAAATAAAGTTGATTGGTTTCATTTTTAAATAACTAGTAATTTCTACCATACGCGACCTTTTTACAGTTTATTTGTTTGTTTTTGAATTTCGCGCAAAGCTACACGAGGGCTATCTGCGCTAGCCGTCCCTAATCTTGCAGTGTAAGACTAGAGGGAAGGCAGCTAGTCATCACCACCCACAGCTAACTCTTGGGCTACTCTTTTACCAACGAATAGTTGGATTGACCGTCACATTATAACGCCCCCGCGGCTGAAAGGGCGAGCATGTTTGGTGTGACGGGGAATCGATCCCGCGACCCTCAGATTGCGAGTCGAGTGCCCTAACCATTTTCAGTTTGTCTTTTTAGTGAGGAAAAATAAACTGTTACGTAGGGACATTACACAGTTTATATAATCAGTGTGTTGTTGTTCTTTGAATGTAATCTATTCAATGGGCTATCTGCGCTCTGTCCACTGAGAGAAATCGATTCTAGGATTTTAGTGTTCTAAGTTCATAAACTTACCATTGATCCACCATTTGATCAAGTAAGCTTTTGTAAGTTAGTTACCAGTTCAGTAAAGATTATATGAAGAATAAAGAGCTATTTAAGAGCCTTGAAATGTAGGTGGTGAACTCTGTGGACAACTTAAAGAAAGAAAATGATTGAAACGAAATCCGTCTTGGTTAAAGAAGTGACCGCCAAGTGATGATTGCGACACTATACAGTGTATTTACAGACTACGATTCTTATCAAGGATAATGATCACTTTTAGGATAGGGAATGGTCAAGACTATTCATTAAGTGATTGTTGTAAGGGGACTAAGAATGATTCTGCTGGATTTCTTGTTCCGCAATAACCGCAAAAGCAGCTAGCATTAAGAATTAAGTATAAGAAGCATTCAGCACGAGGTTGTAACATAAAAACAAGCATAATGTTATTGTAATTGATTATGAAGCCACAACCTGGGCATAGATACACTGGTAAGGGAGGCCTGTTGTTGATAAAATGCCTTTATAAAATAGTAGATAAGTAGTTTGCAATGTCTATGAGAAATTATGTTAATGTTTTAGAATACGCTGTTGTTGCTAAGATGCCCTTGTAAAATAGTAGTTTGAGTTTTTGAGTGAGGACAAGAGGAAAACGAGCTGTACAATATATGCGGATACAAATGAGATCACCTTGTTGCTCTACGAAAATGGTTTGACATAGGTGTGGTTGTTAATTAAACAAAGGAGAATTATCATGGAGTTATTGCTGAGCTCGATAATACCAAGTCTACAGAACCCCGTCCCACCAAACGTGCTTGCCCTTTCAGCCGTGGGGACGTTACAAGTGACGGTCAATCCCACTATTCGCTGGTAAAAGAGTAGCCCGAGAGTTGGCGGTGGGAGGTGATGACTAGCTGCCTACCTTCTAGTCTTACACTGCTGAATTAGGGTCGGCTAGCGCAGATAGCCCTCGTGTAGCTTGAAATTCAAAACAAAGACTGCAGAAAGTCTGGTTGGCTTAAAGGCATACGAAGACTATGGAGCAGAGAAATGACCCAGGAAAATGAATGAATGAATATACATTTTCGTGGAACAAAATTAAACGTTTAATGGAATATATGTTACTCAACAATTAATTAACACTGTCAGTCTTATAACTTGTATAAATATTTTTTCTATTTGTTTCAGGCAATCTTTCACGTGTTTACTCATTTCTATTCATTTTTTGTTCATTATAAATACGCAGCCCAATTAACTAATGAAGGAATATTTGCTGTAAAATTCTTATCAATGCTATAATTGTAGCTGCCAGTTTGGCCGTCAATTTTGATTCCATTCTTTAAATCGCACACTGAACCCTTTTTTTATCCGAGCCTTTTTTTTCATACTTAAGGTGTTTTTGATTTGATCTTAAATAGCTGGAAAGGCCACACAATTTCAGTGCAATTAATTTGAAACAACTTTAAGACAACAATCGAACGAATTAAAACATTCCTAATTACAGCATCATATATTAGTTGTTTAAATGTTAATCATAATACAATTAAACATATTATTCACCATCAGAATAACGCACTTATATATTTTATACTTATTGTAGAAATGCTTTGAAGTTTATCATTGCTAATACGATGTCCCTAGGTAAGTTTACAGATTTATTACCCTAAATTCCAAAGTTCGGTACCTACAGTGAACACTTTGTAACATTGAACTAAGAACATAACGGCAGCTACCACGGAATTATAAGGTGGTTAAGTGAAACTGAAAGCATTTTAAAATTGTGAAACTTTTATTTCAGTTAGCAATTGTATAAAAAGAGTTACATTGTCTATATCTTTGATATTCATTATATCAAATGGCGATAATATTATATTTCAACTGGGGATTAAACAAAACAGTGACAATTCTATACCTTAGATAGTGGTTATATAAAATGGTAGGAAGTTTATGCTTTATAAAATAGTGATTACAAAATCATGATAATTATATATATATCGCTAGTGATTGTATAAAATTATAAACATTTTACACCTTAAGTTAAAGTTGTGAAAAATTATGAGACTTTTATAACCTCAATTAATGGTTGTATTAAATTATGAGGCTATTATATATTAGTTAGCGGGTGTATTAAATTGTGAGAATTTTATTCCTTAATTCGTGAAAACGTAAAAGGTGAGAAGTTTACACCTTAGTTAGAGGTTATGTCAAATGGTCAGAACTGTATACTTTAATTCACTAACAAGCACGAGTATTCTGCGAACATATATATATAGAAACAACCAGTCGGTCTAATATTTTTCATAACAATCACGTTTTTTTTTGCTGACATTCATCTTAATTTGTCCTTTGCAGATGGAAAATTAGAGGTGTGTAAAATAGTATTTCAGATCTATCTTTTGTCTCCCACAAATCACTGCCAAATAGGCTTTTATTACAATACCAGAACTCGTCAGTTAGGCTGGAAGATGAAAAACAAGAGATTTTCTGAAACGCCATTGATGTTTACAACATTATTGTATCTAAGGCGAACGAAAGAAAATAACGTTAAGAAAAGAGCTTTGATTTTCTTTATTTCATTTCAAACACAAAGGTGAACTTTTTACTGTCCCTCCTGGTATGATGTACAGGAAGAAATAGTAACATCAAGAAAAAATATCGAAATAAATTTAAACAATTACTAAATATATTAAAATAATAATGATTATAATAACTATTACTATCGGTAACTTAAATTTCAGTATTGCAAAAGTGTGAAAAATAAGCGCAATATCAAACTGGTTAAACACAAAACCCCATTGCAAATTAAACATATCCTCAACAATAACAAGCTTTGTTAATCATATATAGATAGCATAATACAGAAGTAGGTGTAAAATGGTTATGATGTAAAACGTACGATTGAGTAGAAGACGAAATCCATTCTCTGCTTGAACATTATATACAAGAAAAAATAATAGCAAAAATGAATTGATTCTTGTCAATAGTATGAAAATAATAATTAAATAATGTTTGAACAAGTAGGAGGCACTGTATATTAATCCATAAAAATTAAATTGCATTTTTTGAGCTTCCTTACCTTACCCCCCCCCCCCCAGTGGCACAGCAGCATGTCTGCGAACTTGAAACGCTAGAAACCGGGTTTCGATACCCGTGGTGGGCAAAGCACAGATAGCCCAAAACACAAAACAAAAATACCTTGCCTTATATATCTATAATAAACATTATATTTGTTTTAGAACCAGTCGCAAATGCATATCACTTACCTAACAAATAAATTCTACTGGCGAAGTCCATTTATCCCCAAACAATTACAGTCTTACAGACAAGTCAAAGCTGCTTTGAAGATATTTTTCCTTCAGATACAGACTAGAAACTAAACTTTGATATAATTTACATGTTTTTGACGTTAGCATAAAACTGGAATGATGTTGTAAAACTAAATACAATCTGAATTATTATTTGTCTACAAATACAGTAATTTATTTATAATCAAACGATTAAATTCCAAAATATTTAGTTAACGCAAAACTAGCAATACAACTTACCCCTTGAATGCTTGGCCATGTTCCTAAGAATATCCGTATACTTTGTGTTTGAATCGTTTTCGTCAAACCATTCTGAACTGACCACCGCATCCTTTATAATATTTGATCTGATAGAACTCATAGTAAAGTAACAGTCAGAGTTTTTTATGTTACGATTTTTAACGTCATGGTAGAGGAGCCCAATTACCTTCCAGTGGAACTTACGAGTAAATTCTAGAATCATTTTACCAATTTGATTATACATTCCGTTCATTCTGGTCAGAAGAGCGTGAGGCGTATTTTTCTCTTTAACAAACTCTTCATTCTGACCTCCAGCAGTTAGTATTGGAATATCCCAGACAGCGGTGTATAGAAATAAAGGGTTAAGGACAAAGGGACAAAATGGTCCAAGAAAGACATCAACTTCATTAGCGTAGTAAGAGTCTAATGCCGCTAAGGGACCGTAAGTTGAGGAGCATTTAGTATTTTTGCTATATGCTCTCACTGAGCGTCCTCCGAGAGGACCGTTGCTGCCTTGTGCCTCCAACTTATCGATTGCATAATAAACAGCCGCTGACACTTTAAAGAGCGAATATGGGTATGTTGTATCTTCTGGCGCCAAGACTAACATTCGAATCATTTTGTTTTTCGTTTCCTGTGAAGCTCTCTTTCTGATATGAGAAACATCATTCATGATCAATACATTGTCCTCTGGTACACATACACTTAATGATACGTTAACCAAAACTATCACGACTACACAAAGTAGTCGTATTGAGGACGTTTGTCTGTTACATGCATCAAAGGATGTACTAATAAGTTTCCAAGATGACAGTCTGAAATCTTTCATTGTACTGAAAATCAACAGTAATGGTCTACTATACGGCACTGATGTTCGAAAATGATTAGGAAATTTATTAAGATTATCCTATATCTTCTCAACCAATATCAAAATAATAGTAGATATTTATTAGGATGGTTAGAAGAAAAACAAAACAAAAACAACGTACAACCAGAAGTTCGTTTCAAAATTCTCAATCTTGTATAATGAAACTAATTGTTTGCAACCTCACAGAAACGATAACTAAAGTATAGAGAAATCATACACGAAACAAAAAAAATATCAAACTTTAAAACATCCATCTTACGTGCATCTTGTTATCAGTGGTTTTATGCTATTGAGCCAAAACTACGTGACTCAGAACTCGTCTGTTACCACTCGCACGACTCCATTTTGTATAATCGTTACACTTAAGGTTTTCCCGGTACCATAGACTGGTAGTCCTGTTTTAGAAATTATTTCCTTGCTATTGCCTACGTCTCTAACTTCCTGTCTGTTATTAAGGTTTTTGTCACTTAAAGCTTGTGAGACGGAGACAGCGCCCTCTTATAGAAAGCGCTTTTTTTTTTTACTTTTTGTGCAGGCGTAAAATGACAAAATAGAGAATTTATTTGATTTCTTTTTTGTGATTTGAAAAGTTTTAATGCAGGCAAAGCGAAGGTATGAACTTGGACATTTTCAACTTTATTGACATTGACTATCATTATTTTTTTTATAACAGTAACTTAACATCTTATTTATTATTATCTTATAGAATACTAACTTAAATCTTGTAATATAACTAATTTGTTTACACAACTTTTATATGACATTGGTCTAAGTGCATGAGTCCACATTCGTTCAAGTATTATGTTATTTAAGATATCCCGATTACACCAATCTTCCTCTACACCCCTACACACTGAATGTGTGCACACGTTGTAAGACAACCGAAGTAATTAGATTATTAGAGTATTTGGTTACATAATTTAGTTTCTTATTCTAAGAGGGAATAAAACTACAGACGCGCAATCATAATAGCTAGTATCTATTTGGAAACATGAAGATATACCAACGGCATAAAATGAGAACCGTATTCAAGAACCATAAAACACTACAATCACAGTTAGCACACATCAAACACACAGTCATATAAGTTAGTGTCTATTTGGAAACATGAAGAGGATATAATAACGGCAAAAAATAAAGTTCTTATTCAGGAATCTGAAAACAATACAATCACAGTAAGCAGACGTCAGACACACAGTAATATAAGCCAGTGTTAAAGGTCTATTTAAAAACATGAAGATGATACACTAACGGCATAAAATGAGAACCATATTCAGGAATCACCAAACAATAGAATCACAGTAAGCACACATCAAACCACTTAAAGACCTTATTGAGAGCATTAACACCACTTAAAATATCCCTGTAAATGGCCTTCGAAACCTAGCATAGAAGTCATGATGATATAACTCTATAGGAACCATTCAGACAGTTAGTCCATTCAAGTCCTAGCGGTTAAGACCTTGGACGAATGGATAGAACATCCAACATATTTACCTAGTATAGAATCCATGAAAAAAAGCAGCAGATTAAGGCCAAAAGGTAGGATATAAAGAAATCTGTAAGATAAAAGAACTAATTTTTATTCAGAGTTAAATGATTGTGTAAACTATAAACCATGCAACGTTTGAAAATCTACCGCTACAACCTTACCATAAATACAGGTTTCTTCATATCACCCTATATATATATATATATATATTGATAATTAAATACAACGGAAACTTTCACACTTGATTAAGTGCTGAAATCAATTATCTGCGTTGATGAAACGATTTCATTCGTCTTATTTTTCATAAAACAGGTATTTAATTTGAACAGTGTATATATACGTAAATGTATTGTTTAGTTGCATTTTTCTATCTGAAAAGAAATGACTTTTATAGTATAAATACTTTAGTCATAGAAGTTTATTTAAATATCAATGCGGGTCATAACCCAGAAACAAACGGGAATACTTTGATCACCCATAACTGTTCCTCAATACGTTTTCTTTGTTTGGTTGGTGAATTTCGCGCAAAGCTATACTAGGGCTATCTGCGCTAACCGTCCCTAATTTAGAAATGATAGCCAGCAATTCAACACCACACACCGCCAATTCTTGGTGTACTCTAATCGAAGAGTGGGGCCCGGCATGGCCAGGTGGTTAGGGAGCTAGACT